CTGTGTTTACTTGGTTGGGTCTGAGCGGCTGTGGGACTGGCGGGTGACAAAGATTTGTCCTGACTGTGGGCCAGGCAGGAAAACTCTAGCTACATAGCTCTACCATGGAAAGTCATCTAACTTCTCGTAAGTGTTAACAGAAAGATACCATTTATATGCTAGGATGCCATGAGAATCCAGGAGAAAGTAAGTGGTAGTTCAAACACACACACACACACACACACACACACACACACACACACGCCAGCCTGAACTCACAGGCAGAGACTGACCTGAGGCTGAACTTCTGTAAGGCCCCAAGGACATTCTCACGAGTGATGACATCCTTGTCTTCCTCCTTCAGCCTTCCCTCCAGCATCCGGAGTACCTTTGTGTTCTGGGCTAGGTAGAGTCGACCTACGATGTGCCAGAGATGAAAATGAGAAAGATGTAAAGAATTAATCTAGTGTGCACTAAGGCCACTTTCTAGTAAAGATATGCATAGGATACACTAGAAAGTTCTATAAGAAATTGTTAAAATGTACTTTTTCTGAGCCATGTGTGGTGGTACATGCCTGTAATCTCAGTACTAGGGGAGCCACAGCAGGAGGATTGCAAGTTCATGGCTAGGCTAGTACCTACATCGGGGGACGCTGTCTAAACACAGAAGTCTTCTCAAGCAATGGTCTGACCAACAGAAAGCCTTTCTTCCTGTAAGCCGAACATAAGCCACCACCACAGTCTGTGGCATCCTGAACCTGAAGGACCTACAAGGGAAAAAGAGGAACGGAACTACACTGTGGCCCCCGGACCTTTGCAAGGGAGGTAGCCAAGCACTGCTTTGGCTATGCTCTCCTGTTCCTCACGGACATGCTCAGAGCCCCATGGAGGTGGGGCCCCGTCTGGGACACCTTCACAAGTAGATCTCTGTAGATCTCTGCACTGACAGACACTAATTTGAGATGAATGGTTCTCAGTGCACACACTGGCTTGTAATAAGTGTTTGCAAGTGAATGGGATAATGAATTAAATGAACATGTTGAATATAATGTATTATAACCTGAAAACTCTTTTTTTTTTAAAGATTTATTTATTAATTATGTATACAGTGTTCTGTTTGTATGTCTGCACACCAGAAGAGGGCACCAGATCTCATTACAGATGGTTGTGAGCCACCATGTGGTTGCTGGGAATTGAACTCGGGACCTCTGGAAGAGTAGTCGGTGCTCTTAACCTCTGAGCCATCTCTCCAGCCCCCTGAAAACTCTTTTTATTCACATTAAAAACACCTCAAGTGGGGCTGGGTATGGTGGTGCACAACCCTAGGCCTGGAGGCAAAGGCAGGTCCTGTGAGGTCAAGGCCAGCCTGGGCTACACAGAAGGACCTAGTTTCAACAATGATTAAAGAACAAAACAACAACAACAAAACCTCAAACAAACAAGACTGTAAGGAACCTGTCCTGGGTGTGTGCGGTGTGCGTGAGATGCACTTGGTGACTGTGGGTGCCAAGGCATATACATGGAGGTCAGAGGACACTTTTCAATGGTCAGGTCTTTCCTTCCACCAAGATGGGATCCACATCTGACCTGTTAGTGGGTTCTAGGGATCAAACTCAGGTTGTCAGGCACACACAAGAGCTTTTACTAACTGAGCTGTTTCATCTGCCCTGATAATGGCCCTTTGTACAGCTGACTTTTATTCAGTTACAATGTCGATTACTTCTGAGGTTTCCAAGTTCTTTAACGCCTGGAGGGGTGGTGCAGCGCTTGCTGGGACAGGATCCACTTGTGTCACCAGACTGACTTTGGCAAGCAGGGATTACAGAGAAGGTATTACCTACTATGCAGTTAAAAACAGTTTAAATGAGAGTTATAAAATCTTACATATTGTAAAATCAACTCCAAAGGCAAGAAAATTTGCTCTGACAGAAACTTGGGCAATTATCTTAAGAACTAATTTTCACAAGAGATGTTAGAAGAACAGAAATAAAATGAGGAGACCTGGGCTACTTTAAGCAAGCCTGGAAAACACTGATTTCACAGGGATGCCCGTGGCTTTGCCGGGTTGTTCTGCCCAGAGGGAAGATGTCACCTCACCTTCAGCCAGGGACGCCAGGGCATTGATGAGCCTGGCCATGTACTGGCGCACAGCCTCGCTCTTGGAGTGCAGCAGCTGCAGCACGCTCCTCTGCAGGAACAACCATGGAGAGAAAGAGTGAGCTAGGGCGCGGGGAAGGGGCAGATGCCCCCATGCCTGACTAACTAGAGGAAAACAGCTGCAGCCACAGTTCACCTGCAGCTCTTGATGGCCAAACGATACTTGCTGAGACTTGGCAAAAGGAAGCCGCCCAAAGTTCCAAGTTCAATGAATTAAGAATGCTGAGCAGCTAGAACAACGGGGCACACGTGGCTGCTGCTGTTGCCGGCTTTCCAGGTGAGACAAGCACACAGCTAATTCAGCTCCCTCCAGACAGGACAGGACGACAGGAAATGGCTTTTTTAAAAACACAATTCCTGAACAGCTGATTAAATGCCATGAGAAATGTTACTCATACAGGACAAATGCCCTGAGTTCCTCCACTTATGCTTCAAAACGCCGAAGAGCTAGGGACAACACAGACAAACAGAAACAAAGTGGCCACATGGCATGGTGCTGTCCCTGTGATCTCCAGCACAGGGACAGGGAGGGAGCATTATCACGACAGGCTAACACCAGGTTCCCATGAGCAGGGAGCTACCAAACTGCAGACAGGAAGCCATCATGATTGTGCATGCTTGTCACCCAGCTCTTGGGAGGCAGCGGCAGGACAATCTCCAGTTTGAGGTCAGTCCAGGTTATAGCAAGATATTCTCAAAACCAGTGGCTGCAAGGCTGAAGAGATGGCTCAGCAGTTAAGAGTGCAGAGGACCTGGGTTGGGTTCCTAGTGCCCACATGCCAGCCATCAACCATGAATAACTTCGATTCCAGAGGACCAGATGCCCTCTTCTGACCTCCTCAGACCCTGCATACACATGGTGAACATACATACAGACAAACATTCATGTACACGCACACACAAAAACAATAATTCTTAAAACCAAACAAACAAAAAAACCAGTGTCTGGAATGTAACTTAGTGGTAGAGCACTAATAAAACCCTGGGTTCAGAAAGCAGGGTGGAGGGGAGGAGGCTGGAAGGAGAACATCGGTTCAGCAGAGAGGAGCAAGGAGGCGTCAGGAGAAGTTTGGGGAAGCTCTGTGTGCTATGTCGAGTGCTCCAACTGAACCAGGCCAAGTGAAATGGCCACAAGCCATCCCCCAAATGTCAACTACCTTTGTACCATCTTTATTGAGGCCAATTTTCACCTTAGTGTACAGTCCAGAGAACTTACAGATCACCAGGGCACAGCCTGAAGAGTGTTCACAAGTGAACATGTGGTAACGGGCAACCAAGTACAGAAGCCACATTCCCACAGCCCAGAGACGCTCTAGGACACCCTTCCAGAAAGTTCTCTCCTGGCTTCTAACATTAACTCTTGCCTTATGTTTTGTTTTGCGCGCGCGTGTGTGTGTGTGTGTGTGTGTGTGTGTGTGTGTGTGTGTGTGCCTGAAACTCACTGATCTGGCTAGATTGGCTGGCCAAAAAGTCCCTGGGACCCTCTTGTCTCTGCCTCTCCTGCACTGGGATTACAGGAACGGATCACAGCACCCAGCCAGACTGCCTACTTGCCTTCTTTTTAACATGGGTGCTGGGAAGCCAGGCTTGTGTTCCACTTTACCAAATGAACCATCTCCCCAGCCCCAACTTGGCCTGTTTTTAAAAAACTGTGACTGGCAAAAACACTTCTTTTTTTGTTTTGTTTTGTTTTTATTTTATTTTATTTTATTTTATTTTATTTTATTTTATTTTTTGGTTTTTCGAGACAGGGTTTCTCTGTGTAGCTTTGTGCCTTTCCTGGAACTCACTTGGTAGCCCAGGCTGGCCTCGAATTCACAGAGATCCGCCTGCCTCTGCCTCCCAAGTGCTGGGATTAAAGGTGTGCGCCACCACCGCCCGGCAAAAACACTTCTTATAGAAAATACTGATGTCTGGTTTAAGATCTTAGTCTGAAAGGAGCCAAAACTATACAATGGAACAAAGAAAGTATCTTCAACAAATGGTGCTGGCATAACTGGATGTCAATATGTAAAAGATTACAAATAGATCCATATCTGTCACCATGCACAAAACTCAAGTCCAAGTGGATCAAAGACCTAAACATAAATCCAGTTACACTAAACTTA